TTACGATGCCATTTTATTCTTATAATAACTTCAGGTGTGTGTTATATTATTGTTCATAATTAAATAGTGTTTTAACTTTTAAGTAATGTACTTACGTTTTGGAATTCAACAATCGTATTTTTTTCGAACCTTTCGACGTTTACTCCAATAATATTTACCCAGTTATAAAAATAATACATTAAAAAATTGTAATTTTTATATTCAACAATTACCAGCTTATCGTAACTATTCTGCCTATAATATGATTACTTAATTATTATAGCCAATCATAATCTAAATCATAAAACTGAGCAATTCTTAATAATAGTATAACATGACATCCACGACCATCTTATAAAAATTTAAAATTAATGTAKGTAAGACTTAAACATAATATTGTCTTAATAAATAATAGTGTAATTTATTATAAAATATTTTGGGGGTGTGACACTTCATCGAGGGGACTCCGTTGACTATCCTCTCCCCCTTCTCCAGAAACCAACATATTAAATACATAACATACCGGCTTAGTCAACACGCCCGCGGCCTATATGGCTTGTTACAAACACTTTTGACACCGGATTCGAGTTCAGTGGCCGAACGTCCACATTCAATACGAATCTACATATTTTAGACTCGCTGCACCGGTCGTCCAAATGGCTCGAAAGCACCTACAGCCACGTATACCTTTTATTGCAAGTAGCAATAGTATATTGTATACACATTCATGCTAAATGCCATGTGATTCCGGTTACAAATTATAATAAATAAAAGTAGACATAGGTGTATCGATGTATGTAAGCTGTATATGTATCTACGTCTTCATTGTTATAGTTATTAATTTTAAACACTGTTTATACTAACTTGTACTAGCGTATTACTCGAATCCATCCAGGAAATAATCAACAAATTAAAAATACGGAAATCAGTGACCATTATTGTATTTTGGGTTGATTTCATTCCCTTATAAACAAGACRGTTTATCTGTWAACAGCTTACATACAGGGGGTTGGTGGTCACAACTCAACCCCCGAAAATGTCTTCCTTCATGAAACTATATTTCTAGTATTYCTCTACTAAATATCAGTATGACGTATGTAATTTCGGGAAAATAATTATTGGAATAACCCCTCCGAAAAAAATCTTGCGTCTATTATGAATATTATAATGTATAATCTGGCACATGGATTTGTTGACAAATACAAATCTGAAAGAGATGATACGGAGACCATGTATGATGGATTAAAATTGCAGCACTTGGCATAATTCAGTTCAAGTGTTATATTTAACTTCACGAGAAAATTTKTTTAAGTATAACTCCAGTCATAAAAAAATCTAAAGAGCACAAATTTATAACATCGTCACGTAAATAATACCATAGAATTTTTTTTTTAAAGCCGTTATAAGAATAGGATACTAGAATCCTATTTGGTCATTCAATTTTCTAGACAGGAGTCGGATCAATAAGATTATACTTAAGACCTGCTCGATGATGTGATCTATAAATCTAAAAAACCATTTGACGTTTGGATGAGTTGTTACATGCAGAACCAACTTATCCAAACTTCATATAGTTTTTTATGTTCGTGTGTTTGTTTTTTGCGCTATTTAATAGGTTTGAGTCTGATGTAGGTATATACCTATTTTATGATAAAAATCATGACAGTTAGCTATTATATAAGAGGTATTCTCGATTTTGTAATATTAACAGTATACGCAAGTAATAACATACAGACGTGATAAAAAAAATCTCTGGTCTTAACTAATATTTTATTTATTATTTTTTTATTATATTTTGAACATATTATTATTATTATAACGGAAAAAATATAATTTTCTACTATGCTATGGATCTACTATACTTGTAGTTTTAAAAAGTAAAAACATTGAACTCTTCGTACATTTCTTTTATCAAATAATATAATATTATAAATAGATATCTTTCTTTGTTTCACTATTGAAAGCCCTATCCTCATTTTTTGAATAAATAATGAAATATTATGTTATTGTTTTTTATCTCTTAAAAAAAATATAAACCCGAATCTGAGAAGAAAATAGTTCTACTAAATATTTTGAAATATATGAAAAAAGAGGGCCATTTTTATTAAATATAATTAATTTTTATGTCAACCCATCATAAATTATAAGGGATCATTTCAACTTGACTTTCAAATATATTGTTAATGAATTCCCAGATTTATTACCCATATTATTTGATTTATATTGATTATTATGTAACAAAAATTAAAAGACWTAAAGATATTTTTAACTACAAATTTTAAAAAGAATAAATTAAACATAGGTACTATACATTAATACATAGAATAAAAATCCAAGTAAATATTATATGTCTATCACTATCGATTATCATGCCTTTGTGCGTGACAAACTGACAACGTTAAAAATCCTAAAACGCCTGATATTTTTCGTATTCCAGAATATAATTTGCGCCTAATTAAATTTTTATTAGCAAACATATTGGCATAATATTTATCAAGAAAATAACTCATTCAGTAATAGCTTACACTATTATATTATGATTATTAAACCCATAATTTCACTGATCATGTACGATAATACAGCTATTAATAATTATAATAAATTATAGCCGATGGCCGTTATAGTACATAACAATTTATTGCTGCAGATTCGAAAAAATGCTAGGAAGAAGACATAATCATATATCTGAATAGGCATAATCTGAAAATGAGCGTTATTCGAGAATTTTATTCATCTTTTAGAAAAATTATGAAGGGTATGTTGAAAATTTAAGTGTGATAAATTATAATATATTTGCAAGTGCCTACCTACTCGGTTCACTTCTACGACACCACCACCCCTTTTACAAAATAAACCAATACTATAAATTCAGATTAAAGCATAAAAAAATGCACATGAACGCATGCGACAGTAACATATTATTATGACATATATCTTGCACTGCGCTGTATCATCATCTTGGCGATTATTGTGTCTTTCGTTTGATCAACCGTATCGTATAAACGTGTTCGAGTAGTAAAAGTTTATATAATATACGTATGTTATATTATCACCGTCGATGACAACACTGYAGAGGCGTACACACAAGTAATCGTAACAGAAAATATGCACAAAAAAATATAATATACCTTTACAGAGAATATAATATAGTATACAAATATATGTATTGTAGTATATTAGATATATATTATTGTCAACGCTTACATATATATATATATATACGCTTCTATATAACACGTTGTCATCTCTTTGCAGAAATTCAATATCCTTTATTGTACATAATATTATTATTATTATTTTATTACATATGATTCGTTCGTTCAYTCCAAAAGAACCTTTTTTTCGTAACCAGATTGGCAGTATGTACAGTTATCGAGATATAGTACGTCCACTATTATAAATARCACCACGCTCTGTAAATAATTATATATATATTCATTATATTCGGTACTATGTGCATTATTCTCCTGTGGTTTTCGTTCTCCAATCGATATAGTAAATCAAATGAATACGTTATGTTAAGGAGACTATCTTAACATAACGTATTCATCTGATTTAATATATGCACGATAATACACCATACATAATTTTATTATTATTAATCATCTACTCATTAGTATATTGTTGCTATCATAAACATTGTTATGATAATCATTAATATTATATTATTGTAAATACATTCGTGACGCTTGCGTAGAAGTGAATCTACATAATATAGCTCMGAAAGTCATCTTTTACTAAAAATGATTAGTAGTATACAGAATGATTCACCAAATTTATATCGTCTTGATTCCCAATAATGAAATTATTCAAACTCTGATTTTAGCCCAAAGACCTATATGTTTTCAAATACTTGGATTTTTATTTTATTTAAAGAGTGACTGTCATAATATGGCGGTGCAAACATCTTTTTTCAAATGAAAAATTTAGTTTAAATGGTTAAGCACGTGATTTTTATGTGTAAATAAGGATGCATCTAAATCGAAATTCAAAGTGATMATTTCTGAATTATTGAATTTTATACACTTATACAGTTATAAATTACATCTTTCATAACACTATACCATTCTGCTGGCTACTACACAAATTTGTTTCACGTAAATTGTAAAAACTATAAACGGTTAACTCAAAATGAAGTGTATATGCCAGTTATAGAGGATCTGGCAATGACATTAATTGTTTATATTGTTATTAATATCTATTTTTTGACTGGTAAATATGTTCCTTATCCAACAACAGTATAGGCAATATGTAGACATTAAMGCACATTGTGTGCCGTATACGTCCAGGAGAAATCACGGGAAACCCATAGTATGATATTTATTAATATTACTATAATGAGTCGTATTTATTGTAAGAAATAATAATTCATATCATAACCATGGCGTCGTAAAATGCTTAAAACTATAAAAAAAAATAATAATWAAAACCTTTGATTTTTTTACACCTAATAAAAAAATGCCATACAACACATTATACATATAATAATATATAACCTAACTTAGATCATAGGAATATCTATAATTTAATAATTAATAATTATGCAAGTTGGCATGTTACATAATATTCTAAGTAGGTACACAAAACAAAATTTAATACTCGTGCCAGCCGTACTTTKTCTATATAGAAACTAGAAAGATATTAATTCATTTATAACTGTTACGTTTTACTTTATATATGAGATGTGATTAATGTAAGCACATAAATATTTTGTATACTTGATATTTTGAATAGTTTTTAACTCTACAACAATCATTTACCTAACATCGCAAAACAATTTTTTTTWAATTTCTTACTYATTTAAATAACAMTATACCTRTATATTTTTAATTTCATATTCCAAGACGGAATATTTTTTGAAGTACTTCAATATACATTATAAAAATCGAATTCCGAACTCGTAGTTAATTAGTTGTGAGTACCTATACCTATTTAATGTTTAGATGAGCAGATTATTGGACCATCATCATTTACTATATCATTTATAAACTTATCATGATGTGTGCGTATCGATTTTTCAGCCGTTCGATACGGGAGAGTGCCGAAGAGATCTCGTGAGCAACTCGAGTCGGAGTCGAAGACCGTGTCGGCCGCAGATTCGATGGCGGCGGCGGCCGTTCAAGTGACCACCACGACGGCGACCACGACGACAGTCGCTGCGAACGCTGCCACGGCCGTAGCCACTGCGGTGGCCATAGGGATCGGCGGCAGTGCACCGGCCACGGTTGACCCTATCATGACTGGCACCGGGCCGGCCGCAGTGATAGAGACCAACGGTGGCAGCGTGTCCATATCGTACGACGTGATCGCGGCCATATCGCAGGCACACCTGACCAACTGCGATTACACGGACGAGCTGACCAGGACACTGCTCCGGAAACCCGTCGCCTCTCCTGTAATGATTTCTCACAATACATAATTATTATTATTCGTCTATWATAATAATGTTCTATTTCAACGGTGGTTAGACAATAACTGTAGGTGCATAGGTGATGCATCTGTAGTGGAATTTGAAATGGTGGCTCATAGACCCAGGGACTCATCAAAGACTTCCCTCCCTCAAAAAAAAAAAAAATATATATATATAATAACAATAATGATAAAGCTTTAAAGAGTGGGTATTTATCATTCTAAGTTAATATTCGAATTAGTCTGTTTTCACAAATAGTATAGATATACATTACATTATAGGTATTATAGGGTTAAGAGTATTTTTAACAATGTTTCCTACCAAACCAGATAGGTATAATTAACTGATGGTTAAAGTATAAGCTTACGGATTATAATATTTTTAATGATACCTTAATAAGTTTTGTTTTTAAAAGGACGCCACACCCGCATGTGTTGTCTTCGTCGTACAAGTGCGTAGCATACCAAATTTTACGCTCAGCAAATCTCGTTTATCTCCTTCAATTTAAAATTTAGAGTGAATTGACTTATTAAAAAAAWTAAAGGCAAGATTATTACCGAGGGTATCTCGTGGGTTTTTCTTATTATATTTTAATTTTAAACCGAGTTATGAGTATTTTTAGATATAAAAATAATTTACAATTTTAAAATACTCATAATTCGGTTTAAAATTAAAATATAATAAAAAGCCAAAGAGATGCCCTCGRTAATGATCTTGCCTTTAATTTTTATAATAGGTCAATTCACTGTAAATTTTAAATTAACGGACATAAACGTGATCTGCTGAGCGTAAAATTTKCTATGCTACGCACTTGTACGACGGAGACAACACATGCGGATGTGGCGTCCTCTTAAATTCTTTATGTATATTTTTTCGGCCCGAGGCCTGAGCTGAAAAATCCGAGGTTAGGGCGGGGGAGATAAAGTATAATATTGTAAAATATCAAATTTCACAAATTTTCAGTGATCAATGATAACTAAACGAGATTACGTCCAGAAATGTTTGTCATAAAATTCACTGCTTTATTTTTTCGAACCAACTCTGAGAGCACAAAATTAATCTGTATTCAAATATTTTCAACTTTATTATAGGGACATTTGGAAYGCTATATAAGCTCCTAATAGTGAACATACAATTAAACTTATTGAAAAAAAAAAATAAGAACAAACATCATTATAATTTATTGTAAAGCCTGCAATATAGTTTCGTTGATCTTGTGAAAGTAGTAGCCCTTCTTCTTCCGACCAATATATAACATTCTGAAGTTGTTCCGAATAATGAAGTATGGTTTCTTTTTATCATCCGTTCCGACGTCTTATACCTCCCAGAAATAATGGMTATCCTTAGGATTATAACATTCTAACATGAGTATACGTAATACGTTAAGATGGATTATTATTGGAATGTAGACGTGTTCTTAAAGGCTGAACGACCACGTGTGRAAGTATAATCACATCTGTGCCGTGTCATCGCGTGTTTTGTTATTTTTCGCAATGGGTTTACGCATTTACGCACTTTTGAATTTTTCTTGTCCACATTTCAATTATAATGATGTTCAAATAGTACCAAATTACATAATGATGTATYGCATTGATCTACGCGAATAGATTTTAATTTTCAATAATTATCAAAGCGTATATTTGTTTTAGATTTTTGAAAGTGAAGGTTATATTCATTTTGAATATAAATTGGTTGAATAAAAGAA